TGTAGTCATGTTGTGTAGTCATGTTGTGTAGTCAGTGTGTGTAGCAGATTGTCGACTCGTTCACAACAACAGAAACATGTGGGGACACTCAGGCGAGGGGTGGAGCCTGTAGAGCAGCAGGAGGCGGGACATGGCGTCTAAACTGTGTAAAGATCAGTGTTGTTGTTTACAGCTCGTCCACACGGCGTCGGCCCTCATCACCAAAACATCTGGAACCTCCTCGTCTKTCCAAGTGGACGTCTTCGTCTTCTACGTGTGCGGCTCCTCTTCTTCATCCTGAGACATTTGTGTTCTTCAGTTTCACGTCCGTCACGTGTTAGAAATCTCAGAGACACGCCCACTCGCTCACTGAGAAGGTTCCAGATGTTTTTGACTCACTCTGACATTTTACAGATGTTTCACTAGAGGCTGCAGGAGAAGATCCAGAACATGTCCAGAGACACTGACTCAGACATTTGTTCTTACATACAGAACATGTCAGGAACACGTCAAGAACATGTCACAACACATCAAGAACATGTCAGGAACACGTCAAGAGAACACGTCAGGAACACGTCCAGAACATGCCAGGAACACATCAAGAACACGTCAGGAACATGTCACAACATGTCAAGAACATGTGAGGAACATGTGAGGAGTATGTCAGGAACACGTCAGAGCTTCATGTCTGAAAACATCTTGTCTACGAAGATTCTGGATTAATTCACAACATAAAAAAAGAGTTTGATAGATGAGATTTTGGCTCAATGTGTTTCCATGTGGAGAAAACGTGTCCAGAGTAAAAAAATTAGCGGCTGAATCTGATCTGAAGCTTCATGAGTTTCAAACTCTCACATGCAGAACCTCCAGAACATGTCAGGAGCATGCGTGTGATTCAGTTCATGTCTGAAAAAAACCCGTCACCAATTAACAGGAAAACTGTTGGTATAAAACTGTTTAACCCTAGTTTTTGTGTAAACAAACAACAGACAGAGATGAAAACATAATGTCGGAGATAAAAACATGTTTATGAAGCGTTGCGTGTTAAATTCTGCAGCTTCAGACACTGACACATCCAATCACACGGCTCAGCTGCTGGCAATCATCTGTACTACTTCAATTAATTTAACCAGCTGATCTGACAAAGGTTTTTAGTTTTAAAATGAAAGAGTCTGAAGATTATTTTCCTGATAAAAAAACAGAAAAATTTAGAATCACTTTCTTTTCAGTTTCTGATGCTCGATTTCTGATACTGACGTCTTTGAAATGAATTCTGTAAAAAACATTAGTGTGTTTGAGATGTTGATTTGATCCTTTACGTTCTCGATCATTTCTGTTTCATTATTTATTATTTATGTTTAGATTTTATTTCATATCATTTTAAGCCTGTTCAGCACTTGTTGTTTTAAATTGTATATTGTATCATTTATTTATAATCCTCTGAGGTGTCTTCAGTTTGTGTTGCAGGTCTGTTCTTACACACAGGTTATCATCATTATTATTGTTGTTGAGAGGAACCAGAGTGTGAAGCCATAGTTTTCCTGTGTGATAACGTCTAAATGTTCCAGGAAGTTTCCTCATGTCAGTGTTCACATGCCCCCCCCCTTGTTTCCCACCTGTTTCCTATCAGGAAGTAACGTGGGCAGAGACAGGAAGTCCAGGCTGAAGTGGTCAGAGTGAAAGTCAACACACGATCACAAAGTTCAACCCAGCAGCCACTTGTTATACGATAAACTACAATAAACGAGAAACAAGTGAAGACTAAGTGTTTGTGTTGATCAGCTGTGAAACGTCTTTGTTTGTCTGTTTCCATCTCATTCATCTATTTATTCAATATGTGTCATTTCATTCTGTTGTAGCATATTTATTATTTATTCTACATTTTCTTTCTCTGACAGTTTATAAAAAAGAATCATTTTGAACCTACTTAGGAACCAACAGAACTCTACATGACATGTTTGAGCAGGATGTGATGTCATTTTTTGTCTTGTGTATAAAGTGAATCATAAAAACAGCTGTCAATCATTTTCCTGCCAATCAATCAATCAATCAATCACTGCAGCTCTTCAATTACCAGCAAACACCTGTCACATGATAAAACTACAAATGACGATGTTGGCAAAAGTTAAATCGAGATTAAATGTTTCT